ATAAATAAATAAATAAATAAATAAATAAATAAATAACAATAAAATAAAATAAAATTTAAAATGCTAAAAAAAATTAAATGACTTCTAATCATTTGAAACAGCAAAAGTACCAGCTGAATTGAAGCCAACTTAAAATTAAATTGCTAATAGTCTCCTACAGTCTAGATAACCAAGTGTAATGTAAACATTACATTATTATTAGGAATGAATGGAGACACCTGAAATTTAGAAATGTATGAGGAGGTGTGGAGGAGATGGGGGTTTCCCTATATGACTAATTCTAGCACGGCTTCTAAATCAACTGCAACCTTCTTTAGGACTCATTACCACAGGTATCTCCTGTCACTATCATTTAACACGTCAGTGTCATATGACACACGTGCATGTGTGAGCATGCACTCACACACACAGACACTGCAAACACATACCTACATAATACGCATTCACACACCCACATATCTATGTGACACAATGCACAATACACATTTCCATATACACCCCTACCTAGCACACAGGTTTGGCAAACATATGCCCCCAAAACATATGAACACCCACACCTCAAGAATGTATGTGTATTCCCCACACAGCAATACCACGGGGCACATGAGCATAACACACCCACACAAATAATGTGTAACACACAGCTGCCTCACACACACACCTACTCTGGCTTCCCTCTTGACCTCACAGGCTGTAGTCTCAATATGTTGACAGAAGCAGCTCATTGGGGCAGGAAAAGTGCTGTCTTGGCCATCGAGACTTTGGTTTTGCTTCAGTTTACAGCAGGGGTTCCCAAGCCCTGGGCTGGTTCTGATCCATGACCTGTTAGGGACCAGGCCACACAGCAGGAGGTGAGTGGCAGGCAAGCGAGCATTACTGCCTGAGCTCCGCCTCCTGTCAGATCAGCAGGGTCATTAGGTTCTCTAGGAGCGAACCCCATTGTGAACTGTGTATGTGAGGGATCTAGGTTGTGCACTCCTTGTGAGAATCTAATGCCTGATAATCTGAAGTGGAACAGTTTCATCCTGAGACTATCCCCCTGTCTCTGGTCTGTGGAAAAATTGTCTTCCACGACACTGGTCCCTTGTGCCAAAAAGTTTGGGGCCTGCTGACCTACAGTGTTTCCAGTAATCTAGAAGCCTAACACAAAGAACCCAAAATCGTCACAGTGGAGCCACAATCAATATCTTATTCCCAGGAAAGTTGTGAAGCCCTTTGAATTAAAATCAAGATAGTCCATGAACCAGAGATTGCACAATGAGTTCTTTCTGTAAAAAATCGAACATGGTGTTCACCACTGATCTGATGCAATTTAAGGGCAGAGATGAGTGAAACTTGGGACAAGTGGTTTCAGTGAAAAATGCTGTAGCCAGAAAAATCATTCCATGTACAGGACTTGGTCTTGAATTCTCAATATATCCATCTGTATTTTGTGGCTTTTAAATATATACAAGTGTATTACCTAGGATTTGGTTCAGCTGTCAAGTGGCAGGAAACTCAAAATAGTAGTGACTTAAACAAGAAAGAAGAGGGAAAGTAATTCTCTCTCATGTGTATATAGAATGTCCAGGGCTGGCATGGTGGCTGTATCGTCATTGGGGACACAGGCTTCTTCTCTCTTGTTTCTCCAACACCTTCAGCATATGGCTTCCACTTCAGGGTCCAAGATGGCTGTTCCAGTTCCAGCCATCATGCTGGCATTCCAGCCAGCAAGAAACAGGAAGGGGAAGGGCATGCTCCTTTCTTTCAAGAGCACTTTCTGGAAGGTGACATGCCACACGTGCACGTACATCTTACTGATCAAGACTTAGTTACGTGACCACACCTAGCTGCAAGAGAGGTGTAGACATATGGTATTTATTCTAAGTGACCATGTGTCAGTTAAAATTTGGGGTCTATTACTGTAGGATAAAGTGAGTGGATATAAGAAGATAGCTATTAGTTTCTTCAACACATTTTTTAAAGAATTAAAAATAGCCTTGGGAGCCTGGGCAGCATGGTGAAACCCCATTTCTACAAAAACTACAAAAATTAGCTGGCCGTGGTGGCACGAGCCTGTTGTCCCAGCTATTCAGGAGGATGAAGCAGGAGGATCACTTGAGCCTGGGAGGTTAAGGCTGCAGCGAGCAGTGATTGTGCCACTGCACTCCAGCCTGGGTGACAGAGTGAGACCCCATTTCAAAAAAACGCTTCCACCCAGAGGTAATCACTGGCTCACTGTTAACATTGTAATATGTAGCATGTGTGTGTCTGTCTGTGTGTGTGTGTGTGTGTACATATAATTTCTTTTACAAAACTGAGTCAATACCATATGCGATTTTTTGTTTGCATTTTGCGAATGTCTTTTTATGACTATGTATAAATATCTATCCTTTTTTAAAAAGCTCAAAAGAAAAATCTGTAATTTGACCTAATAAAATAAGCATGTTATCCAAGACACTTAGTAATACTTGCTTGATGCATCATTCAGTTCGGGGATCCAAGGAGACCATTTCACATCATGCAAAAAGCTGGGAGGAATTCAGAACCTATGAGAGGGCAGGGTCCCTGGCTCAAGTAACACATGGGGGAGTGGTGAAACCCCTGAGAATGCAGGTATAAAGAAGGAACTCCAGCCAGGCGCGGTGGCTCAAGCCTGTAATCCCAGCACTTTGGGAGGCCGAGACGGGCGGATCACGAGGTCAGGAGTTCGAGACCATCCTGGCTAACACGGTGAAACCCCGTCTCTACATAAAAAAAATACAAAAAACTAGCTGGGCGAGGTGGCTGGCGCCTGTAGTCTCAGCTACTCGGGAGGCTGAGGCAGGAGAATGGCGTAAACCCGGGAGGCGGAGCTTGCAGTGAGCTGAGATCCAGCCACGGCACTCCAGCCTGGGCGACAGGGCGAGACTCTGTCTCAAAAAAAAAAAAAAGAATGAACTGGCGGGACTCACCTCTCTGTCCCTGGGAAGGAAAAGTGGAGGGGGAAAGACAGTACAAATTAATAGTGTCCTCCCCTTCTCCAGCCAAACCTTCAAGTGCTGCTAGTGTTGGCTGGAGAATTGAGCTTATGATATTTTGGGAAAATTATTTTATGAATTCTGCTGTTTATGATACTTAGGGCTTTATTCCCTTAGCAACTTCTCCTAGGATTTAGAATCCTTCTCAAAAGCTCAGAGGATTACATTTCAGATAAGCATGCAGAGTGGTGACTTATCTCAGCGGGCAACTAAGAAATCTCAGTTCCTGTGTGCTCTCATTTAGTACGCCTGCTTTATTGACTTGGTCCCCACAAATGTGTCACAGGAAAACATCTTTCTTTCTGCTTACCACTCCCTCGCTGTCTTCCTAAAGCATCAATTCAAATCAACTCGGCTGAGAATTCTCCTGTGGGTCCCTGCTTCCTCTTGCACCAAATCTAACCTTCTCTACCAAACTTGCAGCCCGCTCTGCAATCAGCTCGCTGCTCCCCACTGCGGGCTCTTTCCCAGCTCCTGCATTGCACTGAAGCTAGCGACAACGTGGGTTCCCTTTCCGGAGCTGAGACCTTTTTTTTAAGGAAGTGGAAATTTGAGAACCAAATGGACTCTATCTCTAATGAACTGTATAATACTGAATGTTATTTAACCCCTTTGAGCCTCTGTTTTCTTGTGTGCTATCAATAATACATAGGAGAGAATAACAAAAATGGAATAATAAATAGGGTCCCACAGGGGCGTGGCTGGATCAAACCATGCACACAGAGTACCCTGCATCGTGCCTGGCCTTTGGCAAGGGATTAAGTCACTGTGACTTTCCTCTCCCCACGCTTTTCCTTTCCCCATGTAGCCATTTTTCTGTTTAGGGCCTTTTCTCTGCTCAGTTCGCAGTAGATTGTATCCTGCCTGGATGCCACTTGTTCTGGGTTGGTCTTCTTCACCTTGCTCCTGCTGGGCTGGGCTGTCCAATTGCGCAGAGCCTCTTGGCTTTTCTTGCAGCTGAGGTTCTAGCCTCTGACCTTCCTGGGGAACTCAGTGCCAGAACCTGGGGGCTATGGTCTCCCAGCTGCCCAAAGGCTCTGCTGTCCTGATGTGCTAACACCCTTCTTGGATAAATTGTACAGGCCTTGCCCGCAGAGTCAGCCTCTGGGCAGTCAGGTGGAGACTGGACCTGCCTCTGGACCTGCCCCCTTCCAGAACCTTTTATCTCCCCAGAAGTTCTCCATCCTCTGTCTTCTCTAATAAATGACAGAAAAGCTCCACTGTAAAGCCATGAATGTGTCTTTCTGAGGCTGGAAGGCTCAGTGGACATTATCTTTTAAAACCACCTTTATAAAAATGCAATTTCCAGGATGATCAAAACTAAAGTTAGAAAAGAAAAAATGAAACAAAAAGATCCCTCAAATTGGATGTACAAAGCATTACCGTCTACAGTGGACTTCATCAGCTCTACAAGTACAGCATTAGGTCCTAACAGATGGGGTAAAGAATAGATCATTCAACTAAGAGGAAATTGAAATTGTCTTACAAAAAAGACAAATATTTAATGTTATTGGTAGTCAAATAAATATAATTTAATTTTTAATGAGGTACCACTTTGCCCATTAGATTGGAAGATTATTTTAAAATAATAAAACCCAGTGCTGGAAAAGCTGCAGAGAAGCTGTTATGTTCACAGAGTGCTATTGTCATTGTAAATTATTACAATCATTTTGAAAAGCAATTTGGCAGTGCATTTTAAGAGCCGTGAAAATGTTTCTGCTCTTTGGCTGACAATTTTCACGTCGATAATCAAGCAAAATAAAAATAATTATGTGCATGAAAGTAATCTTGGTAGGGTTATCTACAATAGCAAAAATACAAGCAATTTAAATGTCGAACAGTAGGGGAATGGTGAATTAAACGGTGTCCCGTGTCCTCAATGTAATATTGTGCAGCCATCAGAATAATCCTTCCATTTACCATCTCATATTTATCTGATGTCCTCATCCCCAGATTGTGCAATGAATTAGGAGACAATCCCTTGATTTTCTGGCCCCCTACTTAACTTTCATGTGTGGCCCCATCTGTGCTTGTCATCCTTCTGCCCCTGCCCGCTTTCTCAGGTTAATCTCTCCACCTGACTTGCAGACCTTCCCTATCTTTGTTCGCCACCATCTCATTCCCTCAACTACCTCCTCTCCTGGAAATCAACCTTAGCCACTTGGCTGTCTCTTTTCCTTTCTTGTTGCTTTCATTTTCAACAAAAAGCTCTCCCTTGTACCTACATCTCTATCTAGCTACTGCCTTATTGCTCCCTCCCACTTTAAGCCCACCTTCTTGTTAGAGGCACCTGCAGTGACCTTTCTCACCCCTCACTGACACACACTCACTTAAGCCTAGCTGCCCGGTGCTTTCAGCAAGGCCACCAACAACATCCTCATTGCTGTGTTCAGTGAATAGTTTTTCCTTCTCGACCTTAGTCCATTTAGCCTCCCAGGGTGTATTCTGACTCTCCTTCTCCTGAAACCACTCTTCCTCTGATTCCCACAGCCCACTCTCTTGTGTCCCACACTCCCTCACTAAGGCTGGGATTCCATCATATGTCCTGCCTTTCTCACTGCTCTTCTCAACATCCTTTGTGGTTACCTCTTCCTCTACCCATCCTGTAAAAATAGTATTCCCCAAGGGACTGTCACTGGTCCTCTTCACTTAGGTTCATCAACTCTCTTCAACTGGAGTCAGATATGTGGGATTCAAATTCTGACTTTCTCACTTTTCAAACATGTGGCAAAGTTATTCTACCTCTTAAGCATCAGTTTTCTTTCCTGTAAAATGGAGATAATAATAGAACCCACCCCATAGCATACCTAGTAAATGTTACACATTCAATGCATGCTAGCTATACTTCTCCTTCTTCTTCTTCTTCTTCTTCTTCTTCTTCTTCTTATTATTATTATTATTATTATTATTATTATTATTATTATATGATACCCTACTCTATTTTTTCAGTCTATACTTTGCTGAGCTTCAGAGCAACTCCTGTATTCAATGTCCTACTGGAGGCCTTTGCCTGGCTGTCTTTCCTCAAACTCCGTATGTCCACAATTGCATGAACCATTTAGCTCCTCCCCAACCCCATTCCTGACCATATCTGAAAACTGGGAGACATCCTTGATACGTTTTCTCCCTTTATCTGTATTTTTCTCCCTAGGCATGTCCCATAAAATACTCCAAGTGGATTTCCCCAAGCTCATGCTCCAACCACCAGAATGGTGAAATGCTAACGTTGTAAAAGCTGAAAACTCCAAGATCATAGAGGAGCCCAGGGCTGTAAGATAAAAGGAACTGGGGCCCCGGACTGACAATGTGAAAGGCTACCTGCCTGGCAGAAAGGCCTGCTTTGAATTTCACGTAAGAAACAATCACCTAGTACTTTATGCCACCAAGATTTTTGAAACTATCTTTCATAGCAACTAGACATACTTCAACTAATATAAGTCCAAAATATCTGAAGGATTCATGAACTACTCCAATCCCCTCTGTTACAACCCTCCGTCAAGCTTTCATAATCCTTTTTTTAGTAGATCATTGTAAAAGCCTCCTAAAAGGTGTGCCTGACTTCACTCCTACCTTTCTCTAATCCATTCTCCATAAGTTGTTGGTGGGGCCTTCATAAATTGTTAGAGGATCCCAAGTTTGATTTTATCCACCATTCCTGCTTAAGGAGATCTGGCACTGATCCCCCATTACCTTCAAGATAAAATCCAACTCCCGCTATGCCATAAGAGGCCCTTCATGAATTGTCTCCACCTACCTGGTGTATCTCTGCTCCTGTCCGTTTGTCTTCCTGGCCAGCCAGAATTAACTACCCACAGTCTCAGTGCCCTGTGCCAGGCTTCCTTGACTGCAAGTCTTTGGGTACTCAGCTCCCTCGGCCTGGAGGAACACTTCTGTGTCTTCCTTACCTAGATAACAGTTACTCATATTTTAAGATTCACTTTCCCTGAGAGGCCTTCTCTGACTCCTCCAGGCTGGGTGAAAGTCTCCTGAATGCACTAATTACCCTTATATTCACATCTTTTATAACATGCATTACACTGTCCTCATAAAATCTGTTTACTTGTCTCTGAATACGGACAATATTTTGGCATCATTTTCTAGCACAATGTATAGCATATAGTTAGCACTCAATAAATGCTTTCGAATGAATGACTAGGCAAAGTATAAAAACATAATTACAATGCAACATAGAAAAAGAAGGGCAATAAAGAGCTGGGTGTGGTGGGCCATGCTTGTAATCCCAGCTACTCAGGAGGCTGAGGCAGGAAGAACACTTGAGCTAGGAATTTGAGTCCAGCCTGGGAAACATAGCGAGACCCCATCCCTATAAAAAAGAAAAGAAAGAAAAGAAAAATATTAACAACATACCTTTTATTACTAAGTGAAAATTTGAATTGTAAACTGTATGTATAGTACACTGCACACTATGCAATAAACCTACATGAAATATATATACATGTGGATAAATTTTGGAAATAATCATTCAAGAGACATTTATTTAGCACCTACTCTGTGCCAGATAATACTAATGGAAAGATTAATTAGAATTGATCCATCCTCTCAAAAGTTTACAGTCTTGGGGTGGGGGGGCAAAGCAATCTTGTTTAGCTGGTGGGAATATTGGGAAATGATTTTCTTTCAAAATTCTCTTTAATTGTTCAAAGCAATACATTTAAAAAACAGAAAACAGTCTATCAAATGCTGCTCATGTAATACTGAAGTCATAAAAATTCAACCTCCATTATCTTGAATCCATCTATCCACGGTAAATCCTCTTTGAGTTTTTGAGTCTGCCTACACACTGTTGCACACTTTGATCCGTGTTTGGTTTTGCTTCCCCACAAGATTGTCAGTCTCTTGTACACAGTGGATTAGTCTGATTAAACAGGTGATGGGCAGCCCTTGACTGGCTTAATTTTGCTATCTAGTTTAAGGGCAGCCTTTCTTTTCATTCAAAGCAGAAACATTGGGGTAAGGTGGGGTAGGGAAAAGTCTATGCTAGAAATGGAGAGGAACCTTTTTTGAATTACTCAACTCCAAGCCCCTGCTCACCTGCCCTTCAGGGAAACTGAGGGGAGATGAGAACTGTGGGAAGGGGAGGCACCTGTCCCACCACATGGGGAAACCCCTGACCACGTGCCCAGTGTCCTGGAGGCCAGAGTTGATGATGACAGTGCTGCTTCCTTTTGCATGGTTCATCAGGCCTCACTTGCCCTCTTGGCCCAGACAGGGATAGAAAGACAGGGAAATCTGCTCCGGGGGCCTGATGGCCATGCCAGGGAAGGGTGAGGGAGAGGACCATCCTGTTCTTTCCATCGACAGCTCCAGGACCTGTCACGGTCCCTGGCAAACAGCAGCCTTTAGTAAGTACGGCGCTGGTGAAATGAACCCGTTCAAAGCTCAAGGCTCCTGCTAGTGCCCTGTGTACCTGTGGACAACTTCATCTCTCTGAACCTCAATTATCCCACCTGCAAAGATCGTAACCTTAAACTCCATGTAATCGTCTTGAAGAATAAAATGAAATAGTAAGTGTGAACCCATGGAATGAGCTTCAAAGCACTTTGAACATATAGGGTCTATTTGAGGGTGCAGGGTGGGAGGAAGGAGAGGAGCAGAAAAGACAACTGTTGAGTACTGGGCTTAACACCAGAGTGATGAAATAATTTGTACAACAAACCCCTGTGATAGGAGTTTACATATGTTACAAAGCTTCACATCTACCCCCAAACTTTTCTTTTTTTGGAAAAAAAAAAAGAGAGAGAGAGAGAGAGAGACACCCCCCAGGGTAACACAAAAAGACTGTCTCTCTTTCTAAAAAAAAAAAAAAAAAAAAAAGGCGGAGGGAGCCAGAGACCTTAACAGACATCTCACCAAAGAAGATATCCTCATGGTACATATGCATCTGAAAAGATGTTCCACATTACATGTTATCAGGGAAATACAGATTAAAACACAAAAAGAGAGAGAGAGAAAAGAAAATGGAGGGCAGAGGACATGGCAGATTGGAAGACCGCCTCTGTGTTCATTTTCAAATACACTAATTACACTAATAGAAACAACTTTCTCATTAACATTCTCATAATCAGTAAAGTTGGTGCTCTAAGTTGTAATATTATACATTCCTTCATAAACTCAATAAAGTTATTGTCACTCTTTATGAAAAAAAATGCCTTTAAATGTTATGATTTATTTCTCATGCAAAATAATGTTCATTAAGTGAATTAAACTCCAAATCTCAACTTTTCTGCAGTGTTCTGCAACCTGTGGACATGTGATGATAATAATGGTGCTCTGCTCCTTATCTAAATTTGGTGGGAACATCATTGATGCTGACCTCCTAGGATAGAAGCCCTTTGGGGTGGGGACTGCACACCTGGCATGAGGTAGGAACATCCCCCATGTGTCTGGACATGCTGAAGAAGTAGGTACCATAGAGCACTGATGCCTTAGGATGAGGGGCACCTCTGGGGGCAAGCAGAAACAGAAAGAAAGGATATATTTTTAATATAATTCATTTCCTCGGCATGTGTCCCCAAAAGTTTACACTCCATCCAACACCATGGATCTGGACAAACAATGTAGTGTATTCAGTGACACTTTGTGATTTCTGCCTCTTGTAGCAACAATCTTTCTTAATAAACAGCTTCATACATCTCACCAAGCACTTGCTGTCTTCCTGAGATGTCAGCATAAGCACCTGGGTACCATCAGATAGACTTACACTTCCCAGTTGAACACTATACTGCTTATCTCCAAGAATCAAGAACAGGGAGTGTGTGTGTGTGTGTGTGTGTGAGAGTACGCAGATGCCCAGAGAGAGAGAAAGAGAGAGACAGAGAGACCACAATTTCTTTCCAGTGTGGGTCTTTCCAACGTCATTTTATAAGGTTCTGGACAGCTTGGCTGGCTGCAGTCCTGATATTATAAAACAGAATTGATTTGCAAGGACTTGAGCCAGGAGAGGGCACACCTGGGAGGCAGCTGTGAGATCAGCACAGAGCATGGGGGCAAATGCTGAGGTATCTTGAAACCTACAGCAGAATAAAGGGTTTGGGGCAACCTGAACCAGAGCCAGAGTTTAGTGCTCCCTGATTGGACCATTGAATTCATCAGGGCCAAGAGAGAGCCAAGTGCCAGCCTTTATCTTGAGAGAGGAAGGAGGTTCTGTGTGTGTATGGAAAATTAAAGGTCCGAAGAGGAGATGTAGTGAATGTGTTAAACCTGAAATTACACTGAATGACTTACAGCTGGATTCTCACTGAAATTTCTTTATTGCAACTATTCCAAAAAGATATCCACTATTTCAGGAGTTTCACTACACACTCAACTGACAAAGGGATTGTTTAGATGAGTGTTCTCAACCCTGAGTTTTCTTTAGAGTCTTTAGAAAGTACCCACTCCAGACAAAATGAATCAGAATTTCTGGGTGAGGGATCCAAAGATGGGTAGTCTTAAAAACCTTTCTATATAATTCTAATATGCAGCCAGGATTGAGAACTGATGGCTTAGGCTGAGATGGGAATGAGGTACCAAAGGAAACTAGAGAAAGAAAGATTGTGGTTGAAAGGTTGTGATTCCTGGGTTTAGCCTCAGACAAGAAAAGTTTCCTCATGTTTATGCTTAAGTGCCAGAACAGAAAGAAACAAGACACCTCAGCCTGTGATGAGTTGGTCAAAGGGTTGGCAACAATGAATTTAATCTGTGACTACCAATCAGAAGCCAAACTCTGAAGACCCTAAAATATAAACAAAACTAGACAAACTGGTGGATGAATAATACATTTGGTTGTATGTTTCAGTCAACTATCAAGGATTCACAGAATAGAAACCCACTTAAGGTAGCTGAAGATTAGGAAGGTTTGTGGTAGAGACCCAAAACGTAATTTCAAAGCATCAAGGGATGTGGGCTTCCAGAGCCAGGAACCAGACACTCAGGGACTGAGGTCACTCCTTTCACCTCTCGGTCATTTGATCTCCTTCATCTCTCTTCCTCTTCACACATCTGCTTCCTTCTTCCAGTGCAGTTGGCTTTCTCTGATTAAACACTTTACACAAGGTCCAACATAAAAGTGATTCAGCTCTAATTTATCACTATCTTTCATGTCCAGAGCCCAACACTGACTCACCACTGTTAAGGTGTTTCTTAGTTCAAATTTTCAGCAGAAAAGGATCTGGTCACTAGCCCAGCAAAGGACAGCTGATCTTATCTAGCTTCAGGCAAGGTGTCAATCTCCTCCCATAAACTAGGGTATGTGTGGAAAATGTCTTGTGGTTCACAGGCTGAACACTTTAGGAGACCATTGGAAGGGCAGGTGCTTATATAGTAGCTATAGGGAAGGCAAGTAAAGAAGTCCATCTAATTTCCATCCATAACTGACGAAACAGACACATTTTGCTTTCCCATCTTCTACCTTCCAAATATGGGTGGATATGGGGGAGAAAAGGAGGAGCTTGAAAGAACATGCCCTGTCCGCACAGGACCTAGTCTAGCATCTAAGAGAGGTAACCACAAATTGGCATCACTCAAAGTCAGTCTACAAATCCTCAACCAGCATTTATGTGCATGATTCTACATGTGTTGTCTTCCTCTGGAAATCACTGAGAAATCCATTGTTGGTAATGTTGAAGCCTAAGGATATTCAGAGATCCTGTGGTAGGTTCAATTTTAACCTCATACTTTCTGCTATACTGTGGCATGTGAAAATGGAACATACTTAGACGTTAAGAAGGAGTCTCCTACCCTTGGGCTTTTATCTGATCATTTGGAAAATCCTCAGTTAACATGCTATTGCAGTGGTTTGACAGTTCACTTGACAGCTCTGAAATAACATTCTTGACTCTTAGATGACAATCTTGTACTGAAACACAAAATGGCTCTTTTCAGAAATTTAGAACTTCAGCCAAGTTTTGGGTTCAAGAAAATGGTGGTGTGTGGATTTTTTTAAGCTCCCCAAATGGATAAATTGTGTATGAACTCTCTTTATGTCCAACATCAGCTATTGCACCAAATAATTGAACTGTCATATGTCCTTTGTTCTTGTAATTAAGTTCGGCTGCATTGAGGCAGGAATAGTCTGGACTTGGGGGTCATGTTTAAAGGCAGAAACCTAGGGTAAACTTATCCTCCAATCCATGGACAGTCTGAGTATCTTTTTCCCCTCTTTGGAGGTAGAGGCAAAGTGAAAGGAGGAAAAGGTCCACAGGGAGAAGTAGGGGGAGCACTAGCAACAAATGTTGCCAATTTTCACTTTTCCCATACCGTGTGGTCCTGAAAATTATGACTGTGGCCTCCGTGCAATGCCATCATGCCAATGTGCAATTATCTATTTTAGAACCTCAGATGGCATCAACTATTTTAGCTCTTGCCCAAGTACAGCTATTGCACATTCTGGAAGAAGAAAGAGAAGGAGAAGAAGACTAATACTCGTATCTTACTGACAAAACAAAACACCTTTAAAACAAAAGGATGATTTATCTGGGCTGAAAATAAAACTCCTGCCTACTGAAGTCTGGTGCAGCTGAGTTATCACTATTTTCGTCCTGTAATTTGTTTTATAGGGAACTAATTAACAGGGCAAAGTCTGAAGCCAAGAAAGTAAATCCCATTTTGCTGTTTTCCTTTTCTCTAGCAAGATGCAGACCTGGTCTTTAATTAAAGTGCAAGTTCCAAGGGTACTATCAGCTACCGAAATGGGGAAACACTGGGCAGAAAAGATCACGGTGAAACCTGCTGTGTAGAGCTCAAGAAAGATAATGGCAAAGAGAGGAACTGCACAGGCAACCTCCAAAAGAAGAGATTGTTTTCCTCAGATGTCCCCTTCTTATCCATCTTTTATCTGCTCCCCATAACTCAGAATTTCTTCCCTGGCTCTACTCAACTGAGCATGTACCACAAACATCCTTTTTAAAAACTGGATTTCAGGCCCGGTGCAGTGGCTCACACTTGTAATAACAGCACTTTGGGAGGCCGAGGCAGGTGGATCACATGAGGTCAGGAGTTCTAGCCCAGCCTGACCAACATGGTGAAACCCCATCTTTACAAAAATTAGCTGGGCATGGTGGCGCACACCTGTAATTCCAGCTACTCCGGAGGCTGAGGCAGGAGAATCACTTGAACCCAGGATGCAGAAGTTGCAGTGGGCCGAGATCGGGCCACTACACTCCAGCCTGGGTGACAGAGTGAGACTCTGTCTTAATACATACATACATACATACATACATACATACATACATACATAAAATAAAAAGTGAATTTCTTTTCCCAGATAATTCCTGTTTTGGGAGTGGCGTTTTTTTTTTTTTTTTTTTTTAAAGGTAGCTACTTTCCCATCAAACACCCCTGTCCCAACCTCCCCCTTCTCTGAGGTTTCTTTTTTGATCTGATCCCTCGGTGATCTTTGAGGTTGGGCTTTGCTGCCCGGCAGGTGCCACTCATTCTTCACCCCTCCCCTCCCAGCTCACCCTCTTCGCCGCCTGGTCTCAGGGTCTTCTTCACTCCTTTCTCCCTCTCTTTGTCTCTCTCCCATCCCATTCCTGGAAGTTCTGGACTGGAGGTGGCTGCTCTGGCTTCTCCTCCCTCCTAGGACCCTCAGATAGTATAGGGGGCAAGGGGAGTGCGGCGGGGAGGGCGCAGGATGGGTTGGCGAGGAGAGTGAGTGCTGGGTTCGCACCGGGAGCCGGGAGCCTGACGTCACCACGCCCTGCCTGTCAATCTCCAGCGCGCGCGGCTCGCAGCCGCCTTTTCTGCCACCAACTGTGTCTCTCACTCGCGGCGCCGGCACAGCGACAGGCGCCCCGCGCTTGCCTCCTTCCCGGCCGGGCCGCCTCCTGCAGGCAGCTGCTCAGTCCGCGCGGGGAGCTCAGCCCGGCGCCCCGCCTCAGCGCCCATGACCAGCGACTTCCAGAAGTCCTGACGCCCCAGGTGAGCGGCCGAGTTCCCCAGGGAACTTTGAGGATGTGGGGAGAAGGATAGCCGGGGGACGGGTCTTTCCAGAAGAGGAGAAATGGAGCCAAGCTTGACTCCGACCCTCCACTCCCCCCATACACACACCCTAGTCTCTCCTCCCAGACCCCCTTCGCAGGGGTCTCTGGGCTCCAGGGCGCTCCAAGCTTCGCAAGGGCAGAAACTTCGCTTTCAGCACCACGGACAGCGTATCCGCTGCCCAGCTCCCTGGAGATGTCCTGGTCGCGCCGCCACAACCTGGGCGGGACTCTCCCAGGATGACACTCCTAGCTGGTGCACTCGTATGCGTGTGCAAATACAGGCATCCTTGGAGAATTGATCCGTGTGCATGTGAGTGCATGTTGTCCTGGTGTATATCTGTGCAAAAACTCAGAAGTCCGCGTGGGTATTTCACTCACTTACTCAACAGGTATTTATTTTGGGATCTCACTTAACCCATGATTCCCCGATTTGTTCTGGGGTCCCAGGGTGGGGTGGACAACTCAAGTGGTGCAATGCGAGAGGAGGCTCTATGCGTGGGAAAGTTTCCTGGCAGCCTGAAGGGTACACCTGACGCCTGCACTCCCTCCCTATGCAGGGTGCAAATCCGGCCGCAATGAACGCGAGCGCCGCCTCGCTCAACGACTCCCAGGTGGTGGTAGTGGCGGCCGAAGGAGCGGCGGCGGCGGCCACAGCAACAGGGGGGCCGGACACCGGCGAATGGGGACCCCCTGCTGCTGCGGCTCTGGGAGCCGGCGGCGGAGCTAATGGGTCTCTGGAGCTGTCCTCGCAGCTGTCGGCTGGGCCACCGGGACTCCTGCTGCCAGCGGTGAATCCGTGGGACGTGCTCCTGTGCGTGTCGGGGACAGTGATCGCTGGAGAAAATGCGCTGGTGGTGGCGCTCATCGCGTCCACTCCGGCGCTGCGCACGCCCATGTTCGTGCTGGTGGGCAGTCTGGCCACCGCTGACCTGCTGGCGGGCTGTGGCCTCATCTTGCACTTTGTGTTCCAGTACGTGGTGCCCTCGGAGACTGTGAGTCTGCTCACGGTGGGCTTCCTCGTGGCTTCCTTCGCCGCTTCTGTCAGCAGCCTGCTGGCCATTACGGTGGACCGCTACCTGTCCCTGTATAACGCGCTCACCTATTACTCGCGCCGGACCCTGTTGGGCGTGCACCTCCTGCTTGCCGCCACCTGGACCGTGTCCCTAGGCCTGGGGCTGCTGCCTGTGCTGGGCTGGAACTGCCTGGCAGAGCGTGCCGCCTGCAGCGTGGTGCGCCCGCTGGCGCGCAGCCACGTGGCGCTGCTCTCCGCCGCCTTCTTCATGGTCTTCGGCATCATGCTGCACCTGTACGTGCGCATCTGCCAGGTGGTCTGGCGCCACGCGCACCAGATCGCGCTGCAGCAGCACTGCCTGGCGCCACCCCACCTCGCCGCCACCAGAAAAGGTGTGGGTACGCTGGCTGTTGTGCTGGGCACTTTCGGCGCCAGCTGGCTGCCCTTCGCCATCTATTGCGTGGTGGGCAGCCACGAGGACCCGGCAGTCTACACTTACGCCACCCTGCTGCCCGCCACCTACAACTCCATGATCAATCCCATCATCTATGCCTTCCGCAACCAGGAGATTCAGCGCGCCCTGTGGCTCCTGTTTTGTGGCTGTTTCCAGTCCAAAGTGCCCTTTCGTTCCAGGTCCCCCAGCGAGGTCTGAAGGGCTCGCTCCGTGTCCTCTCACCAACACCACACCCCCAACAAGCCAGCCTTTGGTAAGCTTGGTACCTGCTGATGAACTCTGAGATCCCAATGGTGTGAGTCTGACTGTGGAAAGAAAAAGGGACTAAAGAGAAATTCAACAAACTCACAAGGACAAAGAGGCTTGTTGGCACTTTACATATACAGTGTATACATGTGTACATATATATACAAATATTTGTATCTTCTGGAGGTGTTCAGGATGTGGAGCTTCCTATTCTGTGAAAAACCCAGAAAAAGATACGATTGTATACTCAAATTGTACATCACATTTGTCAAACGAATACATTCCAATACTGCTTAATTATAGCACTTTATTTTTAGCTGCTGAACTGCCAGAACAGTGTTGCCATTTTCAAGGGCAGGGAAAAGGGAGTAAAAGGTGTATTTTTGTTGTATGTGATAGAATATTTTGCTGCACATGCATCAAAAAATGACAACATATTTTGTACACGAATAAACCCATTATAAGAATGTAATTTGGGGTATGTGACTGACTATAGAATTACTATTAGAAAGCTGAATTATAAGTGTATAAGTGTCTTTATTTCCTTTCTTTCTTGTTTGCTTGCTTTCTTGCTTTCTCTTGCTTGCTTGCTTTCTCTTTTGTTTGTTCCAGATAGAGTCTCACTCTGTCGCCCAGGCCTGAATGCAGTGGCCCAGCTCAGTGCAGCCTTGAACTCCTGGGCCCAAGAAATCCTGCCTTAGCCTTCCTAGTAGCTGGGACTACAGGCATGCCACAGCACGCAGCTTACTTTATTTATTGTCTTAAGTTTTTAAAATTTCAATAGATTTGAAGGTACACGTGGTTTTTGGTTACATAGATGAGTTCTTTAGTAGTGAATTCCGAGATTTTTGTGCACCTGTCACCTGAGCAGTGTACCCTGTACCTGATATGTAATATTTTATCCCTCACCTCTTTCCCAACCTCTCCCCACTCCAAGTCCCCACAGTCCATTATATCACTCTGTGTGGTTTTGAGTCCTCATAGCTTAGCTTCCACTTCTAAGGGAGATCATATGGTATTTGATTTTTCATTCTTGAGTCACTTCACTTAGAATAATGGCCTCCAGTTCCATGCAGGTTGCTGCAAAAGACATTATTTCACTGCTTTTTATGACTGAGTAGTATTCCATAGTATATCCATATATATATATAGTATCTTCTTTATCCAACCATTGGTTGAAGGGCACATAGGTTGGTTCCATATCCTTGCAATTGCAAGTTTATTATGTAGCATTATTCTCCTGAGAAAACCTTAATGTAAAAAAGCATATGCATTTGCACATTGTTCATAAACTTTCACTGAAATACCAAATTTATATCATTGTGGTTGGGGAGGGAGGGTGCAGGAAGGGAGTAATATATTCATGTAACGGTATTCACAGGACAACAAAGGGTTACTGGTGTTATCTGTGCAAGTTAATCTACTCCCTCAGTTACTGGGTTTCAAAAACAAGTATCTGAGGATGTCTTCCTCTCATTCCCTGTGCACTTGTGAATCCTGAAACCACAACTTTCAGTTGTAATTTTTCCAATATGGCAAGAATTTTAAATGTTTAAAGTTCATGTTGACTTAATACATTGTTGCTGGCCAGATCTTGTAGTAAAATGCACAGGCTGGTAAAATGAATAAATTCTTCCAAGACAGAATTCCAATATATATATCTCCAATCTCATGAGGTACACAAAAGTATATCCAGTATCCTCTCTTGAGGTACTCTCATCTTCAAAAGAGGGCACTAAAATCCTTAAGCACTAAACATTCCCATTCCACTGATAGGTGTGAGTCATGATGATTCCTCTCCTTCCCTTCTTATAGGATGATGTGAGGATAAATCGGAGAACACATGAAGGCACGCTCTGAACCCTCTGTGAATTAATATGCACAGCAGCACAAGTCGTTACTACTCTTAGGCCTTTGGAAAATACACACGAGAAAATTTATTGAGTTCCCACTATCCTACTACAATTGAGTTATTAGACACCATTCCAGGGATTGGAATATGGAAGTGGAAAAAAAAAAAAAAAAAAGACAAGAAGTCTCAAACTCCATAGTGCTACTTTCTAGTGGGGAAGATGGCCTACAATCAAACAAACAAATATATAATGTCATGTTAGGATAAATGCTAACAAAGAAAATAAAGGAGGATGAGGGATAGGGTGCTCCACTTAGGGTGGCCAGGGAAGATCTCTCTGAGGAGATAACATCTAGGAGGAAAGCTCAGTGAAGGGAGAGTGAGATGCATGAGCATGCAAGGGAAGAGCTTTCCAGACAGAGGAAGCAGCAAGTGTGAAGGCTTCCAGGTGGGAGCATGGCCGTCAAGTTCAAGGAACAGCAAGGAGGTCAACGAGGCCAGACAGACTGAGCAAGAGGAAGAGAGGCATGCTGTTAACTTGGAGGACCTGGGATATGATTATCTTAAACTTCACAAGCCACTATAGGGACTTGGGCTTTGACCCTGAGTGACATGATATGATGTTATTTTTTAAAAAATCACTCTAGCTATCCTGTTGAAAACAGTCTCTAGGGGGGTCAGAGTGAGAGCAGGAGATAGGGGTTTATAAACATAATCCCCAAGAGAAATGACAGTGGCTTGGCGCACAATGGCAGTGGGGGAGATGGTGAGAGTAGTAGGTTCTAGAAATGTGTTGAAGGATAGATGGGAGGTGGGGCATGAAAGAAAAATGTTCAGAATTCATCAAATGAGGGAATGCAGGGGTCTTTAGTGAGCAAGGAAAAACTGAGGGTTGGGGGGAGTACATTGGGAAGTGTGATGATTAATTTTATGTGTCAATTTGGCCAGACAATAGGGTGCCCAGATATTTGGTCAAACACATTTTGATCATTCGAAGGCCTGAATAGAACAAAAATATGGG